TTAACAGAACATGAGCACCCTACGCCTTCATGTAGCAAGACGGCAAGCCACCAAGACAGATGACAATTCCAGAAGAGGAGTTAAATTGCAAAGCCCCATCACGGGAGAAAGACGCATCAGTTCTGACAGCACAAATCAGAAGATGAATGCAAGTATTCAAAACTTCTTTTTTTTAAGCAATGATTTTATATAACACAGAGAGGCAATGTTCAGATATGCTTACAAGCAGTGGAGGGGCAGAAGAAATTTATTGCAACGTTCTACCTTGTCCTGTAAACCACTGTCTAATACAGGGGTGGGATAGCTCAATACGTAGAGCACGAGATTCTTAATCCTACGTTCATGGGTTCATTGCAGGGAGTTGGACTAGATGAGCCTCGTGTGCAGAAATGGGCTCCCCGTCCCTACCCGTAATAGTTGAATGGGTCTCCTGGCTTTTCTAAAAATTATTTTTGATCCTCAAAATCTTAATGACCTGGCAGCGTACAGTCTCAAAAGGATAGATCCCAATTTCACTTGCTGCAAGCATGGGCTTACTCCATAAGTGATTTGGCAACAGCTGTTCACCACAATTCATTAGGGGTAGTTGGAACATAAATAATAATTTGACAGCATTGTCACATCACTCATTTACCCTTAATCTCACATTTCCTGTTATGAATTTTGCCTCTAGTATCTCTGCTTGCCTCTGTTCTGTTGCCCAAGCCCCAAAAGTCCAGGGACACCTGTGGGGTGGGGGTGGGGTTCCTCTGGTCCCTTTCCTAATTTCTTTGGCTTCCGTTTAAAAGAAAAAGAAGCTCTCCAGCCCTTTACTCATGGATATAAAAGCATGCAGGCAACATTCCACACAACTGCCCATTAAGGGAACATAACCTGGAATCTGCCTTTCAATATTTTGCCCCATCAGTGCAAAGGAACTGGGTTAAAAGACAAGAAGCAAGTTCTCGTTTTTGTTTTTAAGAAAGCTAACTATATTTGAATGCATATCTTACAATCATGAATCTCATTTGAAGTTTGCACGCACAGTAAGCTATAGTTAATGTGTTACCATGAACTTGTCAGTCTTCCCCACTTTGCTCCTCTCTGCTTGAGCTGGACAAAAACAAACCATACTCCCTTGTCTTACTCTTACATCCAAACCAGGAGCTGTGGTTTGTTTTGTTCCCCAAAAGCTATGATCTATTGCAAAGGTTTGCTCTTGGCTCACCGGCCATAGTTTCTTTGAGCAAATCAAGCCACAGCCCAGATCACAAGCCAGGGATTGTGATCTGCAACCAAACAGCCAAGAATTAGGAGTGCTCACAGTAAACAATTAAATATGGCTTACTGTGATGTCTAAACTGGACGGTGGTGATTTTCCCCCAGTTTCCATCATCAAAGAAGGCACAACAACATTTGAAGTCCTTGTGGCTAAAGTGAAAAGGACTTCTGCTGCTGAAATTCAGCTAATTCAACAGTTTCAAATAAAACCGTTTCAGATTACAAACTCTGCAACTGCGAAGAAATAATGAATACAGGCAAAAGCTTAACAAGGCCAGTTTGCAAACAGAATCTTTGAAGGCCAACAGAAATAAAAAGGATGCAAAACACAAGCAGATACATCAACTTCCCCTCTTTTATTTAATTTTTGTATTATAATTTTTTTAAAAATATATTGACAAATCCAGAAATTAATGGTGCGAGCATCCATATTAGCTCTACTTTGTCTGCATTCAGAACAGCAGCGGCCGTGCCGTCTTCTCCCACTCAGCCAAATCCATATTTGAAAGGAAGAGCCTTTGGGAATTGCAGTAGTCGCAAACCCAGCATCACTCCCCTGCCATGAATGCGCGCGGCTGAAGCAAGCCAGCCACAAGGGACGCAATTAGCACCACCTGAGGTTTACCCAGCAGGTCCTGAGCAGAAGCATCTACCCAGCTTGTTTTAGCAAAGATCACAAGTTTATTTGCCAGAGCCCGCACCAAAGTCTCTTTGATCGTCTGGGACTGTTGGGTGCAATTCTTCGAAAAGCAACACAGTACCCGAAGTCATTACTCACAGAGAGCTCTTTCCTGCTCTGCCTGGTGCTGGTGAACAGCAAAACGGCAGGCAGCTTGGGCGACAAGGTTGCAAGAAGCGCTTGTGTGATCAGATAACGCAGCCCAACATCCTCTCTCCAACAACTGATAGCAAGGGCATGATGGATGGCCAGCCGCCTCCTGCAACTGTATTCAGGATCTGAGAAGCCTCAGCAAGCCCAACCTGCCCCTTTCAAGCCCTGAAAAGCAGATCCCAAAAAGCACGGGGTGGGAAATTTAATTTTTTTGTGGTGGAGCCACAAGTGAGCATGGTCAGAACCGAAAGCAGTTTACCTACCTTAAGCTTCCCAGCTCAGGCAGGGCTGAAAACTAGCTTTGTGCAGGCTTTCCGCAGCTAGAATTTAAGCTCCTAAGCTAGGCATAGGCAAACTCAGCCCTCCAGATGTTTTGGGACTACAACTCCCATCATCCCTCGCTAACAGGACAGGGGTGATGGGAATTGTAGCCCCAAAACATCTGGAGGGCCAGGTTTGCCTATGCCTGTCCTAAGCTATTAGTTATCGCAGGTTTTTGGCTCCTATCAAACAGTGCCCTTAGTGTGTCCATACCAGTCTGAGCTGCTTCTTTAATTGCATAAGAGGGTTAGTTATTCTTGAGGGTGTAGGGGGTGTTAGGGGAAAGGTAGTATCTCAGATAAGGGGCATGTTGTTCTCCTTCTGGGGTAGTTTGTCCACCTTAGGTCCTCACTCAGCTCTCACCGGTGACTCCATGACAGAATGTGACAGTGGCCAAACCATGGGAAACTGCTTCAATTGGCCAGTTAAACCAGGTGAGGGTAGCTGATGCATCTCAAACCCTCAGTGAGTTAAGGACTTCCTTGCATGTGAAGACAGGCTCTGGTGCATTGAGCAGATGAGATCAATAGTGGGTCCAGTGGTCAAGAAGGCAGTTTCTGCGTGTGCTGTAGAGGGAAGTGATGGGGTTCATCAACTTGGGAAGGTAGCCCAGGTAGGAGAAGGAAAACTCTGATCCTAAACCTTCACTGCTTTTGGGGGGGGGGGGAGAAAGGGCTAAGGAGTAAACCCTACACAAATCCAGAATGGAGTATGCACCACAACCTATTTGACTGGTGACAATAAAATGCTTCTTCCAATCCTGATTTCAGAGGGTGGGGGGAACCCTGTGGTTGCCATGGAAGGCCTATGTGAGAACATGTGCGCGCTCCTAGGCACTATGTTGGTAACCCAAGTTCTGACGGGCTCTGTGCAAACAGCTGTGCCACTTCATTTCCTGCCATGGAGAATCTGAGGAGGTGGCTAAAATCTTGAAAACTTACTGTTAGTTTCTGTTTGCCACTGTGCAGTGCTTTGGAGTCACAAGACTCTGTTTACATTCCAGAGACATTCCAGGCTGTTGGAAGTCTCACGGGAGACGGATGGGACGTACTGGTTTCCTGTTCCTTTGCTGTTCAGTTGTTCTCTGCTCTCACAGAGAGAGGATGATTTCTTTTCTGTCTGCGTAGCTTAGAAAATAAAGCATAGCGATGTAGCCATAAATCTCATCACTTCCATGTGCTGCTTTGATTCTCTGCTGAATGGGAATGAGCCTGAACCTCATCAAAGGCTCAGGTGGTTAATCATGTCGGAGGGCGATTCCGGAAGATGAGCTTTATCAGCTCGGTCGAACGCAGATTCCGACACTTACTACCTTAATATGATATTCTGGGGCCCACCTCTTGAACCATGAGATGCAACAAAGCATCTCAAGTTGACCCTTTTCAGAATCCATGGGTCTTGATGAACCTAGGCCTCCTAGATAGGTGAATGCACCACTCACTGGGTTCTATTCTCATTCCCGGGTTCCACCCTCCCTTTTAATAACTGGATAATGCATCATGTGCAAGCAATAGTAATGCTTTTTTTTCCTAGCAGGCCTTTTGAATTATTCACAATGTCCTTGGAGCATCTTCAGTTTGTAAAAGCTGCATCTGCTAACTGGTTTAGCAAGTAACAGAGCACACTTGCAGCTAAACAATTTAAGAAGCCATTTGTGAAGAAATTTCAATAAACTCCTATTGCCACTATGCCAGCCAAGTGAGTTAAACGCAATTGTAACATTACCAGCCACTGGTGCTTCAAGACAAAACTGCACCCATCATCATAATAAATTCTAGGCTTGTCACTACAATTTCTTAGTTAACAAAAGCAATTGCACCAAGTCCTTTCCAACTGCTATGTTAGCAAATGGGTTGGGGGGTGTATGTGTGTGTTTGGAGGGGGCAGGGGTTAAGAGCTTCTGAAGTCTTCCTACTAGTAGGATGTCAGCTTTTCCATATTTCAGCTTCGGAAATCTAAGCAGTGTGCTTGGCATGTTATGCAAATAGTTGATGGATATGCAAACTGAAGTGTGCTGAATTAGCAGACTCCATTGGTGTGGGTTTCCATCAAGCACTTGCTCTCTGTACCTATAGAAAAGGTGGGGGGGCAGGGGTAACAGTTCCACTTGACCACCACCACTCCTCCCCTCCTCGCCACACACACCAGGGAAGACAGAGGTTCTTCCCAAGCTCCCACGATTGTGTGCCAGTAACACAGTCACCACCTATGCCCCGCTGCCACAACTAATCCATTTGATGAATGCTGTTGGACACAACTCCCTGTTGAGGTGAGAAAAATCTACTGCACTATACCAGGCATAGGCAAACTTGGCCCTCCAGATGTTTTGGGACTACAACTCCCATCATCACTAGCTAACAGGACCAGTGGTCAGGCATGATGGGAACTGTAGTCCCAAAACATCTGGAGGACCAAGTTTGCCTATGGCTGCACTATACTATCAGGGAAATGTTATTGATAATCCACTGATAACTCTCTCCTAGCAGATGCCATCAGAGATGGGAGGCAATGAGTCACAAAATCATAAAGTTGGAAGGGATCCCAGGGATCATTTAGTCCAACCCCCTGCAGTGCAGGAATATGCAGCTGTCCCTTACGGGGTTCAAACCTGCAATCCTGGCACTATCAGCACCACACTCTAACCAACTGAGCTATGACCTGCTCATCTACTGAGACACCATTTCCATCAGGCTCCTCCCTCCCTCACCTCAACTGCCTCCTGGCAACCCATCAGGTTGAAGGATGTAGAGAAATATGGGAAGCAGGACCACTCCTTTTCATTTGCCGCAAGATCAACTACACTTAGGGGCGCAGGTGGCACTGTGGGTTAAACCACAAAGCCTAGGACTTGCTGATCAGAAGGTCGGCGGATTGAATCCCCATGACGGGGTGAGCTCCTGTTGCTCGGTCCCTGCTCCTGCCAACCTAGCAGTTCGAAAGCATGTCAAAGTGCAAGTAGATAAATAGGTACCACTCCGGCGGGAAGGTAAATGGCGTTTCCGTGCAATGCTCTGGTACGCCAGAAGCAGCTTAGTCATGCTGGCCACAAGACCCAGAAGCTGTACGCCGGCTCCCTCAGCCAATAAAGCGAGATGAGCGCCGCAACCCCAGAGTTGCAATCTGCAACTGGACCTAATGGTCCAGGGGTCCCTTTACCATACAACTACACTTGGCTCCTTGCCCCTCTGACCTCTTTCCATCTCAGCTGGTCACTGTAACAGCTGCAAAACTAGCTTTAAAAACCAGCGTCTGAGATTGCTTTCTTTCTTCTTCCTTCCTCATCGTGTCTTCCTTTTTTGTACCACGTCTTTTAAATGGTAAGCCTGCAGGCAAGACCGTAAGCCAGTCTGAGAGCCCTTTTGGCCGAAGCGAAAGGCTTGAAACACAAACCACAATGTTCGGAAATGCTTTGATACCCGAGAACTAAAAAGGAGCAGCACATATCTGGTTCCAACTAAGAAATCAAACAGAACCCAAGCAAGCAAAGATTGAGAGAGCAATCTTCCTTTGCTCTCTGCATGGGAGTGTGGAAAAATTAACTTCTTCGATGTGCACAACTCAAGACAAGGGCAATCCCAAAGCTAAAGAAACCATTCGATCGCCACTGTGGATATCAATTCCTGCTCCAAATGCCACTGTTTGAAATCCAACTACCGTATTTTTTGCTCTATAAGACGCACCAGACCACAAGACGCACCTAGTTTTTGGAGGAGGAAAACAAGAAAAAAAATATTCTGAATCTCAGAAGCCAGAACAGCAAGAGGGATCGCTGCACAGTGAAAGCAGCAATCCCTCTTGCTGTTCTGGCTTCTGGGATAGCTGCGCAGCCTGCATTTGTTCCATAAGACGCACACACATTTCCCCTTACTTTTTAGGAGGGGGAAAGTGAGTCTTATAGAGCAAAAAATATGATATGTAGGCAAAGACCTCTTTGCAAACCTTATTCAGCTTATTGTTTGTGCTGCCAACCCTTCAACTGATAGGTGGTGTCCACAAACCCCCTTTTAGCTCAGCTGCATCTTTATTTGTCTCACACCTGACATCACACATCACATCAGGTGTACAGCAGGTGGGCATGGTTTGGCCAAAACAGCCTAGAGAGGGTCAACTGGGGAGGCCTAGAAGCCTGAGTCTCCCTCGCTCACTGCTACACACAGTTATAGGCTCAGGGCCACCTCACGCGGAACAGCACAGAGAAAGTATAACTTGTCAATCATCCTCTCCAGAAATCTCTTCGAACATGAAGAGGAATATCTAAAAGGTCGGTGCTGGCTGTTTGGACTTCAAAACGTTTCCTCAGCATTTCTTGAAAACAAGGAAACACAAGAAACAGCAGAAAACAGTGACACCCCCCCCCCCCAAAAAAGATAAAGACGAGGACGTACCGTTTCATCTTCAAGTTTCAGGTGCAGAGTTTTATCCCCCTCCTTGTAATCTTTGATGATTTCTGCTGATTTCCAGACTTCCTCCGGGTCAGGAATCCAGACTCTCGTGTACTGCAAAGGTGAAAAGAAGGGAGGAAATTGTTAAGGTAAATTGCTCAAGTAGAGAGGCCTCCTCAGTAACACAAGAGGTTCATCTGGTACAGAATTCCGATTTTAACAGTGGCTAAAAAGAAGGCTCAAAAGCAAGACATAAAAGCAGGGGTTGGAATAGAAGACTCTCGATATGATATGATACGATACGATACGATAATCTTTATTGTCATTGTCCCATACAGAACAACGAAATTGAAAAAATCTACATCAGACATTCAAAAACCAACAAGCCTGCTATCCCAACTATCTCAGCCTGGTTAGCCCCTAAAAACTCTGATACCCCATAACAGAATACAATATACAGTGGTACCTCAGGTTACATACGCTTCAGGTTACATACGCTTCATGTTACAGACTCCGCTAACCCAGAAATAGTGCTTCAGGTTAAGAACTTTGCTTCAGGATGAGAACAGAAATCGGGCTCCGGCGGTGCGGCAGCAGCCGGATGCCCCATTAGCTAAAGTGGTGCTTCAGGTTAAGAACAGTTTCAGGTTAAGTATGGACCTCCGGAACGAATTAAGTACTTAACCTGAGGTACCACTGTACTCACATAAAGACTACCTTATACTGCGTTTAATACCAAAATCGCATTTGGACAGAAACTGTTTCTAAGGTGGCTAGTCCTAGTCTTTATAACCCTGTACCTTCTTCCAGAAGGCAGAAGCTAAAAGAGATCATTTCCTGGGTGCACACTATCCTGCACCACCTCTGCAGCTTTCTTATGGCACCTGGAAGCGTAGATTTGATCCAAGGTGGGAAGAGTGCACCCAATTATTCTCTCCGCAGTCTTTACAACCCTGGACAAAATTGTTTTTTCCGGGACCGTGCAGCTCCCAAACCACACACAGAGACCATAAGCTAATACACTCTCCACAGTACAATGGTAAAATGCCATCAACAGGTCCTTTGAGAGATTATTTTTCCGGAGGATTCTCAGAAAATATAGCCTCTGCTGTGCTCTCTTCATCAGGTCTTTGCTGTTTTCTCCCCAGGTTAGGTCATCTCTCGGGGTCCCTTCCAACTCTAGAATGATTCCAAGATTCCTTGTCTTGACCCAAAGACGTACCTGGAGATGCTACAGATTCAACACAAGACCTTTTTATGCAAAGCACATCTTCTACCACTGAGCTACGCCTCCTCCTCAAGGAGTTGCCTTTGCGACACTCTAGGACAGGGGAGGGGTACTGAATCCAACCAGTGGGCCAGAACCGCATCTCCCCCACACTGATAGTATGGGTCAAGTTTGACAGGTGAGTGTGCACGGGGCTTTGCAGGGTGCTGCCACCCAATTGACAGGTGGTGCCTGTACTGTAAACCCCTTTGGACCAGTTGCACCTTTACCTGCCTCACACCTGTCCTTACCTGATTAAAGGTAAAGGGATGCCTGACAATTAGGTCCAGTTGCAGACGACTCTGGGGTTGTGGCGCTCAACTCGCTTTACTGGCTGAGAGAGCCGACGTTTGTCCGCTAACAGTTTTTCCGGGTCATGTGGCCAGCATGACTAAGCCACTTCTGGCAAACCAGAGCAGCACACAGAAACGCTGTTTACCTTCCCGCCGGACAAGAGTTGCAGACAACTCTGGGGTTGCGGCGCTCATCTCGCTTTATTGGCCGAGGGAGCCGGCGTACAGCTTCCGGGTCATGTGGCCAGCATGACTAAGCTGCTTCTGGCATACCAGAGCATTGCACGGAAACGCCATTTACCTTCCCGCCGGAGTGGTACCTATTTATCTACTTGCACTTTGACATGCTTTCGAACTGCTAGGTTGGCAGGAGCAGGGACCGAGCAACGGGAGCTCACCCTGTCGCGGGGATTTGAACCGCCGACCTTTTGATCGGCAAGCCCTAGGCTCAGTGGTTTAGACCACAGCGCCACCCGCGTCCCTCCTTACCTGATTAGGGCATGGCTTATCCCAAACCAGATTGCAGGCCCAAGAGGGAGGCTTGGTGGGGCAAAGCAGACCAGAATGTCTTCACCCCTGCCACAGAACATAAGGAGAACTTGATGGATCACGGCAGTGGCCCACTGAGTCCATCATTCTGTTCTCCCAGTGGCCAACCAGATGCCTGTGCGAAACCTGTAAGCAGGACCCAAGCACAAGAGCTCTCTCTCCTCCAGTTGTTTCCAGCAACTGGAATTCAGATACTTATGGTCTCCAACAGTGGAGGCAGACCATCTCCATCCTTGCAAGCAGCCACCGGAAGCCTTATCCTCCATAGATTTTAATCCTCTAGAAATCACCGGTGTTCATTCTTCATCTAAAGCTCCTCCCAAGCTGACATGCATTATTAGGTTTGGAAGTTAATGGAAACAGACGTACATAAACTCAGACAAGTAAAGACCCCATGCAGAGACCCACTGCAGGCAGCTGTGTAGGGGGTTCATAAGAATGAAGGTTTATTGAACAGCATCCTCGCGGAGAAACAGGAACAGCAAAATATAGTCCCAAACGGATCACATTTACACTCTGCTAATGGGCTTTTATTCAATTAGAGCTACAACTGTGCTCTGTGCAGTATGTGTCCGGAAGAGTTATGGCCTCGCAGGCTTCATTTTCTGCTTAGGCAGATAAATGAGCCTCCTTCCAAGGAGAGCAGAGCTTGTTACGGGGGAAACTCCCATCCAACAGCGTCATGTTGTAAAGAGTCATGGTGCAACTCCTGATTAAAAGAGTTCTGTAGGCCAGCAGCATCTGAAGGGCTGCTGGTTAAGTCACCCCGATTTAGAATAATGAAAGTGGGTGGACAATGTCAGCTAGCAAGAGGTTTGTCATTTCTGCAGTTAAAGCACAACTTAAATTCTAAATACGGTAGTCAGGATCCTGCTTTGTCTGTAATGAGCACTACTGTTGCTGGAAAAGATATTGGATATATACTCGATAATGAAACAGATTATGTCATTAATTTGTTTTCATCTTATTATGGGTGTTGTTGTAATACAGTGGTACCTCGGGTTAAGAACTTAATTCGTTCTGGAGGTCCGTTCTTAACCTGAAACTGTTCTTAATCTGAAGCACCACTTTAGCTAATGGGGCCTCCCGCTGCCGCTGCCACGCGATTTCTGTTCTCATCCTGAAGCAAAGTTCTTAACCCGAGGTACTATTTCTGGGTTAGCAGAG